TTGTCACATGTTAGCTACAGTTAGATTGGCCAGTCTAGGGTGACAAATGTCATAACAGTTCTGACGCCTGAAGAACATCGTAGTAGACCAACTAGTCGCATTAGTATGGTAATAATAACTCACATAGGGTATTAACAAAACATTTGATTTATGGGTTAACATACATTCAAGTAGTTTTATATAAAGATAAAACTTTACAACATCATTTTTCAGTACAACATTACTTACATCTTTAGTCTTGGGATTCAAGATTTACAACTCATTTTTAAAGAAAATATTGGATTTTCTGGAAGTATACACTATCATTTTACACGAAACAGTTACAAGTTCCTTCTCATAAAAAAACGCTTATGAACTCACCAACTTAATTGTTGACACTTTTCAAAATCATTTGTATTCTCAGGAAATCAGTAAACAGGTAATCCAAGCGTTTTTGGAGGATGAGGCATCATCGCATCACGTTATTTATTTTTGTATACATATTTGATATCAAACATTGTTTGAATACAATGTAAACTTTTAAATTATAAATATGATGGTTGTATGGATTTGATTCATTTATATTCAATTGTTTTTATACTGTACAGTGACGTCATCCGCCCCCGGACGTATCTACCGTTCTGGTTCGGGGGTGTGACAGATTGGTATCAGAACATTGTTTATAGTGAACTAAGTATATCAACCCACGTAAGATATACATCTATAAATACAATGGGGGCTAAAACACTCTGACTAAGAAGTATACTTTTAAAATATAATATTGTTTTCATAAAAAAGTATACATACATACATACTAGAAACAGTGTCATAATAAGAACCATATAAAAGTATTAAGAGGAGTTAAACGCTACGGTTAAGCCTAGACAGTTATGTAATCATATCTTGGATAAATATATTCTGATCCATTATATTTATGTAAGATTGACTAACATGTGTTTAGGAATGGTTGTGGTGGGCAAAGAATCTAAAACTTACCAACCCTATACACCAAGAAACTCTAGAATCAAACATAAAGATTAAAAATACTATAGGAGTATTTTTGAATATTCTAAACCCTTCATGTATTTCTCATATCTCTATTCTCGCACAGACGATATGGCAGGATTTCACATGCCCGGAGACCCCTATTTCCCTAACCAGGGAAATGGTGGGCGGATTGAGGAGGATCCTGAAGAGGATCCTGAGGAGTTAGTGGAGGAAGTGGAAGATACCGAGGAGGATCCATAGGAGGAAGAAGACGAGGAGGAGGTCATTAACCCTCCTTACATCTCCAGGGTTCCCACACACCGACTAGGCTACCAGGGTCCTACGCCACGCTGGGCAGAAGACTTGGAGAGATGGAGCCGACAACAACGCCAACGTTCCCCCTACAGAATGGAGTGAGGTTTTTGTAACCTCAGCTATGGGGGTCCGGCAGACAGGTCCCTTCCTGTCATGGTTCAGCGAATCTCGTACCTAGGGATCAGACTAGGGCGTCGGTGAATCAGATCATGGAGCTAGGGGTCGCTGCTGAGGCCACTGACACACGGACCCGATGGCTTGAGAGGGACTACGCCTGGACATGTCACCTCATTGACAGTCTCCATGACGACCTTACCACCGCGCGAGCGGAAGTGAGAGAGTACTAGGAGAGGCACTCAGCCCTCGAGGAGAGGGTGATTGCAGCTGAACATCGGATAGTAGAAATGCATGCCTCCACGACTTCGTCCCACGGCTCATAGGAGACCACCCGCCGTGAGTAGAATTTATACTACTCATATCTTGATTTTATGTACGAGTAAGTGTTGGTGCTACTCTTTTATGTAGACCTTCTTAAAGGTTAATTTTCACAAAACTATGTACTAGCACTATATTATCAATGAAATAGGCACACATTTTATTTCATTGGGTGTTGCTATTTGTTATGCAATTGTTTACTTGCTATAGTAAATTTCATTGTGAATTGCTTGCAAATTTCAATAACAACCAGACTTGATACATATACAAAACAAGGCATTCCATTACGGTAATGCCCGATTCATAACTCTTCCCAAACTTATTGTCATTCCACCTTTAAACTTTATGGCAGAAGTATGCCACCAAAGAAGTCGAACAGGCGCAAGGACAACACACCAACAGCCCCACCACCGCCACCACCCCACAGATGGACTCTGTAGTGTTCCAGGCTGCAATAACCGCTGCTGTGGCTGCCGCCGTGGCCCAAATTAGCAGTAACATCAATGGAAATGGAAACGGAACTAACAGTTCCAATCAAAGCGAAAACCAAGGGCACCAGCGACTGTGCTCCTACAAAGAATTTATGAACTGCAAGCCCAGGACCAACCATGGCGATGGCGGAGTCATCACTCTAACAAGATGGTTTGAAAAGAGCGAGTCCACATTCGAAATCTTTGCATGCCCGGATGAGTTCAAGGTCAAATATGCTGTATGTACATTTGCGGACTCAACCTTGTCGTGGTGGAACAGCCATGTTAAAACTTTGACTCTAGCCGTTGCCAACGCTATGAGTTGGGAGGAACTAAAAGCGATGATGCTCGAGGAATACTGTCCAAGGAGCGAGATGCAGAAATTGGAACAAGAGCTGTGGGAACACGCCATGAAGGGCTCTGGCATTGCCACGTACACTGCTCGATTTAACGAGCTGTCAACTCTATGCCCTGGAATGGTCACCCCAGAGGCCAAGAAAGTGGAACGTTACATTTGAGGATTATCCTCTCAGATCCAGGGAATGGTCATATCTGCCAACCCTAGCACCTTCGACAGTGCCAAGTGTCTGGCACAAACTCTTGTCGACCAGGGAATTCGTCATGGCATTATGACCCCCATGCCTGAACAACCAAAGCGGGGAGACAACAAGTGGAAGTCCGGGAATAAGAAAAAGGGTCAACCCGCTCAAGACTCGGCTAAGAAGCAAAAAACTGTGGCCGTCCATGCCATCACCGCCCCTACCGCCCCAGCACCAGCCAAGTGGATGAATAACAACATATCTAATAGCCTTCTCTCGTTCCTTGCTTGAAATCATTCTCTTCTCTTCCGAAGATGCATCAAGATACTCAATATTAGCTCACACACTCTCTCTATTAGATTAAAGGGCAATTAGGGTTTCTCTCAGTGAAGGCAAGCAGCTGATGAGCCGCAAATAAGGCTATGAGTGCCCTTAAATAGGTCCCAAACCCGAGGATTTAGGGTTTCTCTTCACAGCGTCTACTCGGCGAGTCGGCTCTCGGACTCATCGATTAGATCATTAATCCACGTGGCACAACGCGACCCTACTCGACGAGTTGGAGCACCAACTCGTCGAGTTGCTCAATAGTCCTCCAATTAAATAAATAAACAATATACCTGGAAGTCCGACTGTTACAGGTGAGTAGACCGATTAAAACACTGGCATATCCAAACCTAAGCAGAGGACCAAAACTACCAACCTTCCGAAATTATTGTGACCAAAACCTAAAATGTGTAAAATTCATTATTCCTAAAGTTACACGTGTACTAATATATTTATATAATTATTCCTAAGTCATCAATCATTACTTTTTTTTAAACGACAAATATACTAAACTATACCTAAATTATTCCACCTATGTATACTGTAGGACTTGAACTCTCAACTTTAAGAAGGAATGACAATATTTGATACTGCTGGGCTAGAAGCCATTTGGTATCAATTGTTAACATTGTTGGAGGTTTGTTCGGCAATATATAAAGGACCTCAAAAGTCAAAATGGTATCAATTCCAATATAAATTTCACAATTGTCTATACATACGTATTTCTTTCAAATTTATACATACACCAACAGCTCAATCCACCAATTTATCAATAGTCAATGTTGATCAAATCCAAGCTTCCAACATTGGTACAAATTAAAGTCTAGCCTTCTACAGTTTATGTTATTGTTTTTATTTTCTAGTTTTTATTCAATGCTATCTATTGAAACAATATATTAATAGACTAATGATTATTAAAAGTTAATGAACAACTTTATTTTTAAGAATACTATGAAAGCCTCTTAATTCCTATAGCTATATAAGATTATCTATTATGTTACGGTTTATGTTACCGTTCTTTTGTCTTTGATTATTGTTATAACAATTATACTAGTATTGATAAATTTTGTTTATAAGTAAAAAAATATATATTTAAAGACTCATTTTTGAATCTTTGCACATGACCTCTTAAATCAACGGAGTGGTCCTTTATACCCTTGTATATCTCGGCCGTCCCCTTATGGTGTAATCCCTATATATGTTTCGTTATTGAGAAGGAATGGAATTCATTGGAAAATGTCCCGTCTTCTTTAATGACTATTTGTTTTACATACAAAATTGAAAGGGTATAAGAAAAAGAAAAGACCAAATTGAACTCCAACATAGAGACAAGATGTCTGTGTGGACAAGAAAAAGACCAGGTTTTCTAGAAGGTGTTTGGGAGGAAAGGTCCAAATTATTTCACCTTTAATCATGTTATCTGAAAGTATCGACATACTCTTTTTATAAATAAAAAAAAAACAAAATTTACCTATTTGTTTATCAACAGTATTATACAGTTTTAGTCAGATAGATTATGACATATAAGGCTTCTCGGTTTTGGTTTATAAAGATTATCTTATGCATTTAATTATTTAATTTTTAACTTCATTTTTATTAAATTATCTATCATTTCATATCGAAGGTGGTATACGAAAGGAATTATTGCCGTAAAATGTAAAGCTATTGGGAATTTGGATATAAAGATTTTTACATAACTCACCCTCAATCCAAAGTAATCCCAACTTAAACAGCCTACTATTTTTATCCTTTTTTTTCACCAAGACTCTCAAACGTCATATTCCATTTTCACAAGATGCTACTCTTTTAAGAATCAAGGAAATTTTTTTACTATTATTTGCTTATATTATACATTTATACTATTCACATCCTACAACAATCATCTGATAGACAACAATAAAATACACAACTACACATGGATCATAACCATCAATTTCTCAAACCATAAGGACGTACACTGAACATTGCACAATGATAAATACCTCTCTCTTTCTTATCACCACCACAAGTTTCAAAATATCACTGGTTTTTCCGTAATCACGAGAGATGGAAGCAAGTGCAGTTCTTTGCGTTCTTGGAGTAGCCGCAATCTTGGGGTTATATATTTGGAGGATTTCGAACTGGTTGTGGTTTAAACCAAAAAAGATAGAAAAATTTCTAAGAGATGAAGGTCTCAAGGGTAGCTCCTATACCTTCGTTTTCGGAGATTTGAAAGAAATGGTGCAGATGAGAAGGGATGCCAAATCGAAACCCATGAATCTAACTCACGATATAGCTCCTCGTGTCTTGCCCTTCATCCATAAGTCAATCTCTACTTATGGTATGTCTTGAGTTTTTTTAATTCTGTTAAGTTATGTTTAATTATGACAGTAATTACGTCCTTTTTTGGTTGTCGAGTTCTACATATATATTTTTATTGTTTCCTATACAAAAATAATCGATATAGTTATATAAGGTTGATATACACATGTAACTTAATAACAGTCTTGCCGTTAAAAAAACACATGTACCTTAATAAAAAATCTTAGAAGCAATTAAAACCCACTCTTTTGTTACTGATCATGTGATAAATTTTCTAGGATGTCATGTGACAAATTTTCTAAGATGCAAATAAATTAAAGCCCACTAATTTCTAAGAACTTAAACATAACGAGATTTTGACACATCATTGTTTATTCAAAACCACGTGAACAAACATGTTCACAACTATGCAAATGGTAATTAAACACCCACTGCATAAAAAGTAAAAAAATGTATGTTTCTCGTTATGGTGCATTGGTGTGTAATAAAATGATAATTATCACGCTGTCTTGACTAACGAAAGAAAACATCTATGGTATAAAAAGCCTTACAGCACTTGTATTTGCGTACGTAATTAGTGATTATATGAGATCAAATTTTTAATCTTCTGTAGATACCTTTAACATTTTTGTCTGTATTCTAATGTTTTAGTTTTTTGCATATTCCTTGGAAAAGTAGTATCTAAAACGCGTATGTTAATTTTCTTTTGTTGGGTTTTTGTCCTAATTATTTAGGTAAGAGTTGCTTCACATGGATGGGGACAAAACCTTTGGTCCACATATCTGAACCAACTATGATACGGGAAATATTGGCTAACTATTATCAGTTTCAAAAGCCAAGGGGAGGAAATCCATTAACAAAGTTGCTAGCAAAAGGATTAATCGACGCAGAAGCTGATCAATGGATTAAACATAGAAAAATCATCAACCCCGCATTCCATGTTGAGAAGCTTAAGGTTTTCTTGAAGCTGCTTTTTTCTCCTTTTTAGTACATTATGTACCCTTTTATATATA